TTACTGTGTTAAAACGTGTTTCTTCAAAATTGTCTGAGCTCCTTCATGCCAATAATTTTTAAAATTAAAATCTGATAACATCATTCACTATGGAATTAGGAAGTATTTTATCTGATAATTCTTGGCTAATTATATTATTGTTTTTCTGGGGGAAAAATTGTGTGCTAATAAAAATTTAAATGAAAATCCGAGATTTTCAGGCCTTAAAATATAAAGTTAGGACACAGTAGGAAATATGACAACCTTCTGATGGAAACAATTTTAGTTTTAACCACAATGTATGATCAAAAGGAGTTTGTCAGACTTGGGGAGAACTAAAATGAGTGAAAAATACTGAAGATAGAGAAGGTAGGCTGGTCTAGTTTAAAGACCACAGAAACCGGTACAGTAAGTACATTGATGAATGTAAATAAACTCACTGGAGGTCTGTCCAACATGTAGCCTTGTGTCATGAACTCAGAGGTGGAAAAGTCCGGAGTGGGATCCTTGAATGAGCATTAATTAGCCTTAGAACATGGGCTTCAGAGCTGGCTCTTTCATTTCCTAATTACGTGTGACATTCAGGGAGCTCACTAAAACCCCTGAAATGTTGCCTAACCTCTGAAATGGCTGCAGCAACAGGCCTGTGCTTCACAGGATCATTCAGCCATTCAACAAACCCAAGCAGAGTGTGTCCTGTGACCAGGTCACTTTAGTAGATACTGTAGATGCAACATTAGGAAGATTCAGTGTCTTTTCTGGAAGATGGAACTGTCTGGCGACATAGGAAAACACAGCCCCGTGTGGCAAGTGCTGCCTTCTCGGGGCGTTGGCATCCAGAGGCAGCCAACTTAAAAACAGCTGCCGCTGCACCAGCCTTTGGAGGCCGCCAGCCTTGTTGCCAAGCCACCCTTACCCTCTTCTCCGTACTTGGCATGATTTGACTGATGCTTCCGTGAGAGGCATTGGTTCTTACCGTCATTGTCTCGTCGTGCTGGTCGTCCTGTTCAGTTTTGCTTTTTACCAGACCCCCGAAACTTCCGTCTGCCACCTCCAGGCTGTCCCAGTCCCAGTGCCTGTCTTCTCTGCTTTTTAACACACCTGGCTCTTCTCCTAATCATCCCTTTGTCCCTGGAGCGGATGCATTGCAGCTTCCAAACCCGCTCTTCACCATAGCTCCAACAGACTTGCCCTCCTCTGCCTGTCCTGTTCGCTTCCTCTCAGCAGCCACGTCATGGAAACAAAGATAAATAAGGCATTGTTTTTGCCCTGAAGAAGTTTAAAATCATGTTGGAGAACTCTGCTGTCTTCCAGTGAAAATGACCTCCTAAAGCTAAGGGGTTATTTATATACCAAGAAAATGAAATATTATTTTGGAGTATAGAAGGGCTAGACAACTCAACTTCATCCAACTTCTTGTTCATGGGACGTGTTATTAACGTGGCTTTGAACTGAACCAGAGTGATGGCACAGTTGCACCATCTGGTAAAGGGACTGCTTCTGAGACCAACACCGTTTTCTATGAGAACGTCAGAGAACTAAGCAATTAATGGTCTCTGAACCGTGGATGGAGACGGAGGGAAATATGGTCTATAAATATCACTGTAACTACTGAAATCTGCTCGGGGTCTTCCTATTCCCCTTTGCAGCTCCACCCTGAACAGTACGAAAGTCTGGATTTGAAAGGAAAAGCTCAGTTTTTGGATTTCTTCCATAGTTGTCAAATTTTAGCAGCCTCTGAGAATTTGCTCAGGTTTTTCATGTTTCCTGGCATCTGAGCATATAAGGATTTTTGGTATCAATTTTTAGTTTACAGAAAGCTGGAAAGTTACCAGAGTAACTGTCACGTTTACAGATTCTGCTTATTCCACCTTCTTTGTACATTTTTCAAATAGGATTGTGTGAGCGGAACAGCCAAAGAGGATTCTGGGGCTTTGTTGATGTACAAGATAAGTACCCGTCCTCTTTTGTTTTCAAAACTTGTAAATGATGATAGAGATTCTAACAACTGTGTGTTGAATTATCACCGCAGACTGGGTCTGCACTGTGTGTATTTCCTTACATCTTCAGAGCGTTTGTTAAAGTTGATAATATTATTGCTAAAGACAGATGTAAAAACTGAAGCTTATGGAGGGAAAATAATTTCCCCAAAATCACACAGGTGATAAACTATGTCTGCTTGGCTTTAAATTCCATATTCTTTCTTCCACAGTCTTCTGGTTCCCCAAGGAGCACTTTAGGTATTGCTTTTATAGCTATGTACTTGTTCATTCATTCATTCTTATTTCCTTTCAGTCACTTATCTTTTCAATTCACAGATGTATTTTCTACATTTACTAGGTTCAAAGTAGTGTGAGAGGCATTCTGGTAAATAAAAAGAGAAGTATGACCCAGTCGCTGCTCTCAAGGGTTCCTAAATTAAGTTGGAAGATCAGATACAGACACCAACGCTCACACTCTGGCAGGCAAATTTACTGGGATTCTGATGAGAGAGAAAGGCATTACTTTTTTTCTGGAGGGACCATATGAAGCACATAAGTCCTGAACGTGGAGAGGAGAATTTTACCTGACTGAATTGTTGAGCTTCCTAGAAAAGAGCACAGTACGGGCAAAAGCCTCACGATGCGGCAGGATGCGGGTTCTCAGCTGCTTCTCCTTATCGCAAAGCTCGTGTCCTCACATGCTCTCTCTTGGGTGAACTCAGATCTTGATGCTGGTTTGTTTGATGTGACTTAGGCTAAAGGCTACGTGCAGACCCTAGAGGGCTGAACACTGAGGTGACGATAAATGATGGTAGAAAGTCTATTCGTCTGATTAGAATGGAAAATAGAGTGTTGTCAGTGATTACTGCTTAAGGAACAACCGTACATTAGTACGTTAGCAAGTGTCTCTTCCTCATGCATTTTCAGGTCAGCTGGGGGTCTGCAGCCCCAGCCTGTAATGGGCTGGAAGGCTCTGTTCGAGCTGCGGGTGGGGCTGCGCTTGGTCCTCCCTGGGGCTTGGGCTCAGGTCTACGCCGTGTGTCAGCTGAGAGGAGGACACTTCCAGGGGTGCTCCGCTGACGGCCGGGGCAGCGGTGCAGATGCACCCTAGGGCCTGGTTCAGTCGTGTCTCCTCATGTCCTGTTAGCCGAAGCTGATCGCATGGCTGGGCCCAAAATCAGGGGCAGGAGGGAGATGAGAGTTATTTTTTTTTTAATTGAAGTGTAGTCAGTTATAATGTGCCAATTTCTGGTGTACAGCATCATGTTTTAATCATACATATACATACATATATTTGTTTTCATATTCTTTTTCATTAAAGGTTATTACCAGATATTGAATATAGTTCCCTGTGCAACACAGAAGAAATTTGTTTTTTTATCTTTTTTTATATATGGTGGTTAACTTTTATAAATCTCAAACTCCCAGATTTATCTCTCCCCACCCCCATCCCCCTGTAATCATAAGATTGTTTACTACGTCTGTGAGTCTGTTTCTGTTTTGTAGATGAGTTAGTGTCCTCTTTTTTCTTTTATTTATTTATTTTTTAGATTCCACACATGAGTGATATCATACGGTATTTTCCTTTCTTTGTGGCTTACTGAGTGAATATTTTTGAATAATATAATCTACCATATATACAATGAAAGAGAGGGGAAGAAGGTAAAAATCGTGACAGTTGGTCTAGTAAGGAGAAAAGTCTAAAAGCACTTGAAAAAATAGTAAGCAGTAAGATTATAAGTAACAAATAACAGTAAGAGACTTCAGAAAGATTATGCAGCACGAAGCATAAATGCTAGTACACAGTGGACGCAGGGAGGGCCCGGAGGTGAGGGAGTCAGCACGAACTCTCGTAGTGATGAAAGCCTGGAATGGAGCGGTGACAGCTGGGAGGTGAAGGACCTGAAGATATGAAGAGCATTTCTGAGTCACAATCAGTTACGCCTGGCACCTTGCTGGGTGTAACAGCAGGGAGGAGGGTCCAAGTGGTGACTCTGTCGAAGCCCTTAGAGAATACAGGAGAGCAGCCAGAGGTCTAGGCGGGCGGGGGAGGCTTGACGCTTGGATGATATGGGGGATGGTGGTGCTTTGACAGAAATAGGAAAGTCAGGTCGGGGCGGGCGGGGGGGTACAGAGAGTGACACCGAGTGACCTCTGCTGAGCAGGAGCGGTTCTGGAAGGGCTGAGAAGCCCAGGGACAGGCAGCCGGAGGAGAAAGCACGCTGATGGGACAGAGGTCCGGGGCAGGGACCCAGGAAGAGGGGCAAGTGGGACTGGATTTTAGGTGTCTAGTTTGCATCCTAGCAAATGATCCGATGCCTAACTTTAATTCTACCACGTGTTAAAGTCTCCTGTTCATACACATTGATAGACAGATGCAGCACATTTTTATAGATGTCCACTGGCTTTAAGTCTGAGGCTGGACGGAACAATGAACAATCCTGGTGGCACTGGGACCCTCTCCTCTGGCTTCACTGGCCTGGCAGTGTGATAGCTGGCGACCTCGGGGGTGTATGTGGGTCTTCTGTAAACCTGTTTATTACCAATTCTAGAGAAAAATGCCTCATAATTGGTAATAACCAACTCTCTTTGCTTTTTAAAGCAGAATTAAGTGCCACTATTTAAAATTGTTAATTATAAGGATGTATACTTTCTGGGTAAATCAGTTTGAAAAGCGTATTACTTTTCAGCGTGCTTATGTAATCAGTGTGATACATGCTGCTTTCCCGCTAGAGCTCACATCCCTGTGAGTATGACTTAGGTTCTCTTCTGCTGGTGTGCGCCATCCAGCCCCACATCTCAGTTGCCGGGCCCAGTTCAGCGTTCCTGTGTAACACGCACGTGTGCAAGTGCTGGGCCCTGCTGCAGGGTGAGGGCGCCTGTCCTAGCCACTGTCCTTCATGTTCCATGACTGCGTGCAGACATCAGACAGAGTCGGACTGTAGACTCTTCTGCCCACTGCAGAACTGAAGACAAGTTCAGCCGCACCGGGCATCTCAGTGCTTGCTCTTTCTCTGTTTTTGTTTCACTCTCACACAGAGCTGTGACCTGGATCAGCAGAGCATCGTTCACATGGTGCTGAGACCGCAGAGAAATGGCCAAGAAAGGGGCACAGCTAGAGGGGACAGCCCACGATATGCTGCGGAGGGCTCTGAGAGCTTGACTCGCGTGGACCTCAGCAGCTCCGTCCTCCCCACTGACTCGGTGGGCCTGGCTGTTATTCTGAAGGACGACAGCGAGGACGGTGCCCCGCCAGCTGGAAAGGCCAGGTAACTGTGATGACTCTGTCTGCGCTAGTAAAGCGTTTTGTGTGGTGAAGTCTCGGGGAGAATGGTCAGTGTGTGTGTGTGTTTAGTGCATGACAAGTTCTAGCTCACTGGAAAGAGAGTGCTTGAGTGTCAAATCTGAGGTGACACATTTAATAAGTACAACGAAACAGGGTTTTCATGTGAAGAATGAGCATGAGAGATGGGGAAGGTGCCTGGGCCACGGTGGTTATATTTTGGGTGGTTTTTTGGTTTTTTTTTGGAGGAGGAGGTGGGGTGATGGAGTCATGTGATACATGACTAGGGTCAAAATATGTGATTAAGGTACATCTATGTGCCTCTCAACTTTGGCCTTTCTTTCTTTCTTTTTCTTATTTTCTTAGAAAATATGTTTTGGTTGATTATGTTTCTGATAATATAGAGAAATTTTAAAAAGGAGAAGGAGAACTTCAAAGGGATTTAGTGACTTGCTGGTTCTAGGAAACAAATGACAGTGTCAGTAAAAAATATCCTTTGTGTGTAAGAATTCTTTCTTTGCTACAGTCCGTTTCAAAAATGTTTTTCTTTGGCAAGAGTGGCGATCCCTTCACTATTTTGACAGTATTAGTGTATTTCCCTTTGTCTTTTATTCTCCAGTTGGAATAGTCAAAGGTAGAACAGTATTGTTTCTGTGTGACAGAAAACACAAAATAACGACAATGACTTTACAAGGTAGAAGTTTGGTTCTCTTCCATACACAATAAGAGGAGACATAGACAGTCCTGGGCTAGTGTGACCTTCACAGTGTCAGAGAATTCTAGAACCAGCATGATGGAAGCCTCCTGCTAAAATTACTGAATGAAAGTTTAATTAATTTAAAAAATTATAGATGAGATTAAAAAAAAGATATAAAAAGGAAATTTTCCAGGGACAAGTGAAGAAGTAGGAACAGCACAGCTGTTTTTAAATAAACAACATGTTAAAATAGACCAAAGACCTGAATAGACACCTCACTGAAGAAGACATACGGATGGCAAATGACCAAATGAACAGATGTTCAATATCCTATGTCATTAGGGAATTGCAAATTAAAAAAAAATGAGATACTACTACACACCTATTAGAATGGCTAAAATCCAAATCACTGGCGACAGCAGCCGTTGGCTGGGATGTGGAACCCGTCAGCGCTCATTCTTGCCGGTGGGAGTGAAAAATGGTGCCGCCACTTTGGAAGACAGTTTGACGGTTTCTTACTAAACTAAATACCCTCTCACCGAACAATCCAGCAATTGTGCGTTTTGGTGTTTATTCGAATGAGTTGAAGATGTACGTCCACACAGTGACCTGCACACAGGTATTTACAGCAGCTTTATTCATAATTGCCAAAATTTGGTAGCAAGCAAGATGTTCTTCAATAGGGGAATAGATAAACTGCTATGTCCAGACAATAGTGCTAAAAAGAAATACATTATCAAGCTGTGAAAAGCCATGGAGGAAATGCAAATGCATGTTCCTAAGTGAAAGAGTCAAGTTGAGAAGCCTGCATACTATATGATGCCAACTACATGACATTCTGCAAAGGAGAAAACTATGGAGACAAAAAAAATATCAGAGGTGGCTAGGAGTTTACAGGGCTGAATAGTCGGTACAGTACAGATTTTTAGGACAGAGGAGCTATTCTGTGTGACACTGTGGTGGCTACAGTCATTATAAAACCCACAGAATATAAAACACAAAGGTGAACCCTAGTGTGAGGGTCATAACCATGTGTCGGTGTAGGTTTGTTGGTTGGAACAAGTGCCCTGCTCTGGTGAGGGATGTTGCTAGTGGGGCAGACTGGTGTGTGGTGGGGAAGGACTCTGTGTTTTTTGCTCAGTTTTGCTGTGAACCTAAAATTGCTCTAAGAATTAAAGTCTGTTAAAAATAAGTTAAACTGCTTTTAAGACTTGAGCCCTGGCTACATACTATAGATACAGCATGATTATTAGAGAATATGTTCTTCTCAGCAACTTCTTGCCAGTGGTTGAATGTCGTATAAGATGAAAATTGTTCTGGGATTATAAATGAGTTAGCACCTGCCAAACGCACATCAGTCACGGAAGCCTCCTAATGGAAGAAAGTGATAAGCTTCAGACAACTCTCATTTTATCCCAAAATCAAGTCTCATGTACTTGAAGACGTGTCTTACACCTGCTGATGACTTTGAGCCAGAGAGTGTGCGTTTCCTGGTGCATCGAGCAGCTTTAAACCGTCCCTGAAATGACAACATTGTGGCAGTCATACCAGAGCAACTTAAAGTTGCTATCAGATCAAATTATTAAAATGATGTTATTATTCTACCAAGTACTTGATTTTTTTCTCCAACATAGAAATTTTTACTATAATATGCTCTTTCAGTATGATAAGTGAAAACACAAAAATGATTTTGCCAACTACAGAATTTTTAAGGTAAGGGAAATTGTCCTGTATTCCTTTGCAAGAAGTCTGAACACTATTTCAAAAGCAAGATGAGTTGCTCCGTTACTGTACCTTATATATCCCGTTGGCCCTCTGTATCCCTCGGCTCCACATCCGTGGATTCAATGAACTGTGGATGAAAAATGTTAGAGGAAAAAAAGTCCAGAAAGTTCCAAAAAGCACAACTTAAATATGCCAATTGCCTGGCGACTATTTATGAAACATTTACATTGTATTTATAACTATTTACATAGCATTCACACTGTATTAGGTATTGTAAGTAATCTGGAGATTATTTAAAATATTTGGGAGTATAAGTGTAGGTTATATGCAAATATTATGCCATTTTATAGAGGAGACTTGAGCAACGATGGATTTTGGTGTCCAAAGGGGTTCCTGGAACCAATGCCTCATGGACATCGAGGGGTGACTTCCTGCAGTGTAATTAACTACTTGTCACATTTTTGCTTTCCACTTTGGAGGTACATACGCTCATCAGATGCAAATAAGTCTCATACACTTCATGCCTTCATTGCCTGGAACATGGATGATACTGGATATATTGTCATGTTGCAAAAAGTTTTATTCAACATGTAAAATGACTCCTATGACTCTTCAGCTCTTACTCGTCACATGTGGCAGGGGAAATGGTGAATAACTGCATGTGGACGGCTTGGTGCACCGTGCTGGGGAGGGTGTGGAGTGCCAGCAACAGTTCTTGGAAGTCAAAACTTGCTGGGGGCGGGGTTGGTTAGGGAAAATCAACTGTTCCACCCAGAACAGCGTAAGTGTCAAGTAAACTGTTCCCTCATTTGTTGTTATCAGCCATCTTCTGAGTACTTCCTTTATTATTATTGTTATTGTTATTATGAGCACATAAAGTTTATTTTACCGCCTTAACCATTTCTAAGTGTGCAGTTAAGTAGTGTTAAGGATATTCACATTGTGCAATCAATCTCCAAAACTTTTCCATTTTACAAAACTGAAACTCTGTACGCATTGAACAACTCCGTTTCCCCTTCTTGCAGCCCCTGGCTTCTGCTCTCTGTCTCTGTGAATTTGACTGCCCTAGACACATAGCTGGTTTCCATTATGGCTCAGAGGACTGATGTATCAGAAAGGTGTTTGAGGCTCGGGGGTCGGCGGGAGGTTCCCGTTGTGGAGACAGCTCTGAATTCCAGAACTTTCAGTGACCAAAAAGGGCCTTGATAAGTTTCAGGCACATCTTTCTTTTTCTGCTGGTGTTTCAGGAAGCGTTTCACAGGATGCGTTTTTTCTTAAATCCATAAGAAGTACGCAGTGGAGCAGAGCTGGGAGGAGTGCCAGTGTGCCCTTCTCCGGGTGGCAGAGGACACTGAGAGGAAAACCCAGATGCCGCGTGGTGAGCAGCTGACCTCAGCGATGACCCGGGCTGGTTGGCGGGGTGAGCTTCCTGCCGAAGGTGGGGAAGACAGGCCGGGCTGGCCTTTCTACCCTCTGCTTCCTTCCCGCCTGTTTTGGCACACCTGACTCTGTTGAGGTCAGTTTGGTTTTTGTTGCTGTTGTTTCTTTTAAAACATAAGCAGTTAAAAATAAGCCTTGGGACAGCGGTGGGAAATGACAGTGCGAAAGTTGTCAAGATTCAGAGTGATACTTGCTGGGGGCCTCAGGATGTTGCAGTTTTTATGAAGTCCCTCTGCAGAGTGATACTGGGACTAAAGGGGGAAGGGAAGTTGCGCCCTAGACTCAGTGAGGCCTGAGCTGCCTGTGTGCTCTGTTCATGCAGCACCTCTACAGCGTGCAGTGGGCGGGTGTCCCTCTCCCGGAGGCCTTGGGACCCAGCGAGGTAGAGCGTTTACAGCTCTGCTCGTTGAGCCCCAAGGACTTTCGGAGGATGCTGAACAAGTGCCGAGATGGTAGGATTTGCGCTTGACAAGAGAGTGGAAACCCAGGCAGAATATTTCCAGCTGGCGAGGTCTGTCTTCGGACTCATAGGAGCATTCTAATTAATGCAGAGTGTGCCAGAAATGCGGGCAGGTGGCTGGGTTCCATTTTCTTGATTTGGTTAGAAAGAAGATAAAGAAAAAATTGCAAATCAAGTGGTAGAAAGTTGACTGCCTTTAATACACTCTTTTAAAACTTTCTAAATTTTGTGAAACATTTATTGAAGGTGTGGTTTGTATGATCTGGAGCTTCCAAAAATTTTACGCTTGATTCCGTCCCACCTAGGGGAATTAGCGAAAATGTCCATTTTATGAAAGAAGTTGAAACCCTCATGACAAATAAACAAACTATTGGGAAATTCTTTTTTAATTCACTTTTTAGGTGATAGCATAGAATCAAGCTCAAACTCCTATAGCTTCTAAATCTATTGAACTATAATTAATTTTCCAAAGGATACACCTGAACCTCTGTAAAATCTTAGAAGTTCTTCCTCAGTCCTCAAAGATTAAATTAAATTCACTGCGTTTGGTGTTAGAGGTGTGTTATTACACTCTGATTCTTTGAAAGTGAATGCCCTGTCTTCTTTGTGTACGATAATTAAACAAATCTGAATATTCAGTCCATCAGTGTAGCTGTAATTCACT